CTTGCTCAGGCAGTAGATTCAGGCAAAAGCAAACTGCTGCAATCTCTCCTTGCTTGTGCTTTCTTCTTCATTAATGCCTTTGGCCATTTGACCACACTCTGATGTTTCTTGGCCAGATGTATCCTGGTTTTCATCTGTGAACCATTTGAAGGTAGGCAAATATTGTATTGGTAATTTAGCAATGCAAAAAACATACCAGGAAAGAAAAAGGCAGCATTTACAATTGGCAGAAAGGAGAAAATATATTAGGTAAAACAATCACACATGTTTTAAATTACAAGAAAAGAGATTCTACCTAAATTACACAAAAAGAGATTTTATTTAAACCTTAGGAAGGTAATGGATGATCTTTCTTTGCAGGTTTTGAAGTTGGATGGGCATCTTTCTGGAATGCTTTAGTTGTGTATTCTTACATGGCAGTGGGTTGGAATAGATGGTCTTTGGGGTCCCTTACAATCCTATGATTCTATAGTCAGGAAGGTGCCTTCCTACTGCAAACTGGCTGAACTGCTGTGACCTCATGGAATCTGCACAAACATTTTAACTTCTGTAGGAGAAGCTGGCAACTGGAAAAAGTTGACACACTAGGGACAAAAAGGATAGTTCTTTCATCATTATAGTTAGCCACCCCATGTCAAATGAATTAATGGTTACATCTATCTGATTTAGGGGTATACCTATGGGTGGAGAGGGCAAAATGAAGGCACTGACCCTCTGAAATAAGAATTCTGCTTCTCCACAATGAAATTTCCCGTCAGTCCCCAAATTCCTAACAATGCAATAATTAAAAAAATTAATTTGAGCATTTAGAAATACAAGCTAGGCATCCAAAGAAAAGGGACAAGCAAAGTGACCAAGGGGAATGCAAACACAGTAAATAGAAGTATGAACAGTTTCCAAGGTCTCCATCTCTGCAATGCTAGAAAATGTGGGGGCTGAAGGCAAATAGAACTGAGGGGAGGCAGAATTCTTATTGGGAGGCAGTGCCCATATTTTGTCTGCCCTCTCAGCCTACAACCCTGATCTGGTTGAGTTTACTCAGTTTAGGAGTTTTAGGGCCTTTGCAGTCTGCCAGAAATAGTGCAAATTGAGTCCATTTTTAGGGTTAGGGTTAGGGTTAGGGAATCATGGGAACTGTATTTTATTGTGGCACCAGAGCTCTCTGACAGAGAAGGCCCAATGTCTCAGAAAAAAACAAACAATTCCCATGATTCCCTAGCACTAACCCTAACCCTTAAAGTGGACTCAATTTACACTATTTCTAGCAGTCTGCAAAGGCCCTTAGTTCATGAATCTACTACATCAACATACATGTAGTATGGACAATTCGAACAGGGAAAGCATGCATTCTATATCCTTCCTTAGAGATTTCCTACATATTTGATAGTTGGCTCTTGGGAGAGGAGTTTGGAGAAAAGAACGTATTTGGATTACAGCTCCCAGAATCCCCCAGCCACCATGGTCTCTTTCTTGCTACACATTTATATCACTTTGATATTTGACTGGCATGGCTTCATTCTAGGGAATCCTGGGATCTGTAGTTCTGTGATGCATTCCAATTGTTTGCCAGATTTTTAGTGCTTTCCCAAACAAACCCCAGGCTTCTCTAGGATGTAGGCATGGCAGTTGCAGGCATATAGAAATGCCATTATTGTGCAGTATTATTTGTCCCAAAGGACATTTATCCGAAATGCCTATTAGAAATGCAAGAACCTGCCCTTACACTGAATCCAACCACTGGTTCTATCTAGCCTAATATTCTCGTAAGCCCACATTTGGGTTGCAAAGTTAGTTATTTATTTATTGCACTTATATGCCACTTTTCTCCCAAAATGGGATCCAAGGTGGCTAAAGGCTTATCTAAAGGGTTACTGTATGCCAGAGACCAGAGATCCAGAAGGCATCTGAGCCTAAATGGTAGAGATCATGTGTATCCGAACCCATGAATGGAAATTTCATTTCCTTCTATCTTTGAGGCTATTGTCCAGATCTTGTGAGATCTTGTGAGATCAGAAGTGGTGCTTGGAACATTTTGAACCGTACCCTGCTGTTCCAAAGCCCGTTTTAGCATACAGAGATTTTATTGCCTTTGCAGTCAAACAAACAATACTGAACTTATTTTAAAGACAGTGAGTGGGTCATGGGGGAGACTGCCAGAGACCCTGTAAAAGTGGGGTTCAAAGGCTATGTGTTCCCCATGGCCCACATTTCCCCCACTCCTGGTTTAGACAAAGCAGGGGTTGGGAAAGTTAACTTTTCAGGCCTTTTTGAGGTGTTCTAGTTACAAAAAGTTCCTTTCCCAAGCATTTATTTCTGTCTGTATATTGTGTCTACATTTGTTGTTGTTGTGTGCCATCAAGTTGTTTCTGACTTATGGCAGACCATATCATGGCCTTTTCTTGGCAATCTGTCAGGGATAGTCCTGATTAATCCTCTGTCATCCCACTTTTTCAGCTGCTTTTAAGATGTCCCGGTTTCTCTCTCCTCCTTCCACTTTCCCCCATTGTTCTCAGCTTACTGTGATTGCCGCAAACTGGTTTCAAAGTTCAAAAGTAGTTTGAACTCAGTTAGCCCTGCAAACTGTTGCAACCCTACTAGCTTGTGTGTTCTTCCTCATTAATAACTTGCACCATCTTAGCCACACTCTGATGTGGCTTGGGCATATGCATCCTGGTTTTAGCTGTGAAATGTTGGATGGTATGCTATGGGAAGCAAGAATCTCTCCTGTCTCTCAGTTTACATGTCCTGACCTAGGCCAACTGTATCTCTTCTTTCTGCTCTAGATAAGGACCTGGGCATGCCTACAATTTTTGGCTTTTCTCACACTGCAGCTGAGCAGATCCAGAATATCTGGCCCATACTGATAGAGTCAGAGAAGGAAATTTTCATTAATATCTTACAGAGTTTTGCTGGATGATTTGGGGACTGCTGACCCCAAAAGGAAAAGTTTCCAAGTTCTGTAAGCCCGACCTGCATTTTAACCTCATTTCCCCCATCCTCATATGATGGGGGGGATGGGTCACAACCCTCGATTATATCCTCCCGGATTTCCAGGTTCCAGGAAAGTACATCCAGTGGTGCAGAAAGTACAGGAATGTTTGCAGTTGTATATGCTTTTAAGTTGTGTCCAAGTTATGGCAACCCTATCACAGGGTGTTGTTGTTTTTTTGCAAGATTTGTTCAGAGGGGGTTTGACATTGCCTTCTTTTGAGGCTGAGAGAGTGTGACTTGCCCAAGATCAACCAGGGGGTTCCCAAAGTTGAGCCCGAATTTGAACCTTTGTCTCAAGAGTTGTAGTTGAACACTCAAACCACTACACCACACTAGCTCCCTCCAGGAATTTACTTGTGCAATAAATTCCTTATTCTCACTAATTCTAGCATCTAGCACTGCAAATTATCACGTTAGATGCCCCTAGTGTGTAGCACTACAAACTGCTAGGATATCTACACTATCTAGCTTTCCAAATTGTCAGGACAGATGCAGTAGTAGCCAGCTTTGTGAGTTATCACAATAGTTGTTGTTGTAATCCTTCAAGTCGTTTCCAACTTTTGGTGACCCTAAGGCAAATCTATCATGGGGGGCTTCCACAGCAAGATTAATATGGAGTGTGTTTGCCATTGTCTCCCTCTGAGGCTGAGAGACTGTGACCTGCCCAGGGCCAACCCAGTAAGTTTCAATGGCTGA